ATAATCAAATGTATAAACATTCTTACTTCATTGGAGGTGTGACATTGCCAAAATAATTGGACATAAAGCAAAAATTACTGCATGTGTTATATCTTTCATGTTAAATCTTGGAGTTGTTAGGATTACTCTTCAGGAAAACTAAAAACCCTATCTTCTCTTATACACAATATTATATACATTACTAGAGTCCAGATCAAAATAAATACACAAAGACAGTTAAAATAATAATGAAATTAAAAAACAAAAAGCTTAAGTGAGAATGTATTTGTATATTTACAAGAACAATATGAAAATAACATCATTAAATTCTTTACTTATATAAATCTAAAAAGCGTATTATTCACAACCATACTTAGTTACTTCCCCTGAAGCAGTGTCAAGCAATCACATGCTGACTCTGTGTTCTTCACTCCACAAGTAAAAATTTAACTTTCAATTTTGTATTGGAAAATAATGAACATTACAATATTTGCCTTGCAATAAACAACACCCTGATGATGACATTGAGCTATGTTGAAAGTACTCAGAATAAATAATATATATCAACACGGTGATTTTCTTCCATTCTTCAATAACAACACCAAAAAAATTGTCCGTGAATATGAAAGGCTCCAATAGAAAATAAGTAGACAAAACTTATGTAAATTATTCAATGAAACATGCCTCAATATATATATATATATATATATATATATATATATATATATTATGAGCCTCAACTATGAACATGGTCATAATGTACTGGCCATGTTTGGGAATTAAGAATATGCCTGTGTCTCAGCAACCTACCAGCTATTACAAGAGCACTAATTCCTTGAAAACTGAAAATGGCTAATATATTAAATGAAATGCTCAAAACTAACAATCATCTGGGCAATTTCTACATATACTAAGTTCAAAAATGAAATCTCTTGTATACACAAAAGAAAAACACAATAAAAAAAAACAGAAGTACTTTGTCAGTCATTTTCAACAAAAGACATATTACAGAATGCTGCCCAATTACTCAACTATCTATCTATCTATCTACCTATCTATCTATCTATATATATATATAGAGAGAGAGAGAGAGAGATAGAGAAAGAGCAACTATTTTGTTTATATGAATTTATCAGTCAGAAGTGAATGTGCAGATGGTGTAGTAGATAGCAGCTCGGAATGAGAAATCAGAGAGCTGGGTTTCAATTCCAGTTATTATTATTACAATTACTTTTTAGAAATGGATTTTCTTTTCACAAAAATTGTAAAAAATTATCAATTCTGATTTCAGCCTTGGTTTTTCAATACATAAGAATCAAACATTTATAGAAAATGTTATAACAGACAATACAAAACATGACACAGAAATCCTCGGGTGCATTGGAATGGTAAGGGTAATATCAGCCATTTCCATATGAGGAAACATTTGGCATTCATTGACAGAGTAGCCAGTACTGCTTTCAGATGGAATTTTTAAAATCTTTCTCTTAAAACAATTTTTTTAGGAAAACAGGTTTCTCAAGTCCAGTAGCTGTTATCACTTTTTCCAGTATTGATGGGGTTTTCCTTCCTAACCTTTTATTTGAAATAGTGTGAAATTTTAGCATCTTGATTATGTCATTATTTTCTCTTTGAGTTACATGTACTATCAATTTTAGTTGTTGCTGCTGTCAGTAGTCCTCAAGTGATGTGGTTTCTGTTATTTGGTACAGTTCTTTGTAGTGCTAGTCCACAATGTTCAAAGAAGGATAATCTTTACCAAGACCCTCAGGCTTCACTCACTCAAAGCCATTTTTCACCTTGAACTTAGGAAGTAGTTGTATATAGCTAAAAACAATGTCTTCCAAAAGCTAAATAAAGCATTAAGAAACAGAAAAAATTCATTAGAAACAAAGAAAAGAGTGCTGAAGTGCTATGTAACATCAGTCCTCCTATATATGAGTGGATATTTGACAATTTCATCACAGATGAAGAGGAGAATTGAAGCATCATAGATGTGGTTCTATTGAAGGATGCTGAGAATACCATGGATAGAACAGAACATGTGAGCAATGAAGAAAATTTCAAGGAAAATGGGGACAACAAGTACCTCTGCACTTGAAATTTCTTGAACACATAATGAGGAAAATGAACTTGAAGAATTCAACACACACAGGATATATAAAGACAATAGAAACAGAGGGAAACATCTAATTACTCACCTAAATTGATGGCAGAACAGTGGATAAGAAGGATAGTAAAAAGACAAGCATTGGTGAGAGTCAAAAAGAATAGGAAGTTGTAGAGAGGCATGATCATCCATCTCATGATGGGACACAGCACATAAAAAAGTACTAGCAATGGAAATGTATATAAATTTTGTCTGTTACCATCCTATACATCTACACTGGATGACCTCTCTGTTTTCTACAAGAAATCCAGTTAGAAGCAGAAAGACACTTACTCTATTATACAATGTTAATTTTATTCATTTGCATTTTATATGGAAATGATTTCCACTTTAACTCTTGTATCAGACAACTATATGACCTTGTCACACACTTGTGAGCAAAGATAAAATTGTAAGAAAAAAAAAGTTTCACTTTTAAGCAAGTGGCAGAATCTCCTCTTATTCAAGTACCTGCAATAGTATGTCTTTCCTTCTGTTAGGCATTATTATTATAAAAAAACAGCTCCAAATCTGAAGCCTTCTGGGCTTCAGGGTATGCAAAAATGGTGTTGGTCATACAATACAGGACAGCTATATTTATTAGGTTAATGCAAATGTTTACAGCATTTATGTCTGAATTTCTGGAATGAGAAGTTATCATCATTTACATTACTTTATGTTTGGGCAATTGTTGATACTGACATAATGTTTTAGTCATTATTTCCTCTAGTCTTCATCAGGTGTTTGTCAAAATTTCAAGCTGAACCTATTATTTAATCTACAGAGGTAGATTGTTCTCATTCTGCTGACCATGTCCAGGTATATCATATCTAGTTCTTATTTAGTACTGTTCAGTTATAGTCCAAGTACACACTACTCAACCCAGGGATTGAACACCCAATTATTATGTTACCAAATTCATGAACTAATGTTATTGCCTGTGGGACAGTATTTTGTGACCTAATCTTTTATTCAAATAAATACATCATTATTCAGTTATTAAATATTTTTTCTGACTTCCTATGATTTTTATCACTTTCTAAATGTGTTTCTTAAATAAAGAGCAATATTTTTAAAATCTTAATCTTTAATGTTATGTAAACTTTATTGTAACCGATATTAATGGCTAAATAATGAAAAACTGAAAAGATTACTATATATATATATATATATATATATATATATATATAATCTAAGAGTGTATCAAACTATAAAATTTGTTTGTCGATATAAATGTTCGTAATTTTGTCACAAGATTTCCTAGATGAAAATAATCTTGTCACCATTTCTTGGAATAAAATATAATTTTTATTTAAACTTAAAAATTATCTGAATGGCATTTTTAAATATCTCTTGTGACTAGTTTCACTTAAAGTCAGAATTATTATTAATTAACATTTACTCATTAATAATATTTACCCTCCACCATACAGAATATATTTTGTTTAAATTTTTTAACTAAAATACTTAAATAAAAAGAAATAGATTATTTTTGTGATAGATATCTGTAAATCTACTATATCAGCATGAAACTCTTCAAGACATAGCTGAATATGGTTCTCCATGTTTTATTGCTGAAGTAACTGTTGACTCGTTACCATCCCTCTTTGTATTTGTTTTGCTATCCATCCAAATATGCTTGTTCAGTAAGTTACTCACTACTTCCCTTTTTGGATTTCAGTATGTCCTGTGAGTGTTAAATTCACTAGGCACTCTTTCTTCATTGTGTCCCAGAAATGTCAGCTGTCTTTTCTGACCTATTTTTATGATAGGCTCAGTAAGTTTGTCTATCAATATAAAACTTTATTTAATTGAAAATAAAATAAGAGTTAAAAAAAAATATAAGAAAATAAAATAAAAATTAAGAATATGTTTATTGTATCAACAAAAAATTTGTCTATATTTCTGAGATGAGGTATTGCAATTATTTACATTATTTACATTGTTTGGACTGTTGTCCTCATCTTTATTGCCGTAAAGCTGTAACATGAAGGAAAATAAAAAAATCAGGCATAGTTGACCATATATGGAGGGAAAATGGAGATCACTGCCTCTTGTGGAATGAGGTTGAAATAATAGACATAGAACATCACTGGAAAATACAAAAACTTAAGGAATCAGCACATATGCTAGGCCACAAAAATTTCCTGAGCCAACCAAGCATAGAAATGAATACAATATGGGCACCAGTAATAAGGTGTGCTAGAGAAAAGCAATAATAACAACAAAAACTTGTAAAAAATGATTATTGAGACATTAAGTTTATATGTCCCCCAAAATTCATACACTGATATCCTCAAAGACACATGGATCTGGTGACTTGACCTAAAGAGTTGTGAGTTCAGTACCTGTCTACTGCAGTGGTGAACAAAAACTTGGAGAGTTAAGTTAAAGGGAGATAACTGAGACATCTACAAGAGGCATGACATGTGGAACTAGAACAATCTACCCTGGTAGATGAAATAAAGGGTTCAGTTTCACCTGAAGAATGCCAGAGCATACAATGGCCAAAAAGTTGTGAATATGGCAATAAAGATGAAGACAACAATCCAAACAATGTAAATAATGTAAATAACAAAAAATTGTGTAAGTAGAATTCTCATACAGAGTAATAATTCATTGACAGTTGTTAAATGCTTTCATTTTTGCATTTTATTTGCAATAACATTATATATTAATAATATAGCTTATCAACCTTTTACAGGTTATTTAAAGCCATAAAATATTTTCAGACCTACTAATTAGATTAGAGGATGTGGATTTATACTTTCCCAAGGGTATTTGCACATTAATGAACTTAACTGAAATTGGAACTTGGGTCTCTGATCTCCAATTCCAAACCATTATCTATTATACCACCTGCACATCCAAGCTTACAGCATCTGGTATTCCCAAGTGGTCACCCATCTAAGTACTGACCAGGCTCAATGTTGCTTAATTCCAGTGATTGCACAAAAATCAGTGTTTCAACATGATATGGCTGTATGCCCTTTTTGTAATAAGATACTAATAAAAACTAAATTATTTACACTATTTACATTGTTTGGACTGTAAATGTAAACAGCATAAATAGTTACAATACCTCATCTCAGAAATATAGACAGAAAAGTTAAATTAAATAATTTGATGCTAGTTGAGGTTAAATCAAGACATCACTTGAGAATTTATTTGGAGATATCCAAAATACTCCAAATATCTAGATCAAGCATGTAGTATCATTTGAACCAATTTGGTTATGTTAGTCACTTTGATGTGTTGCTACCATACTTTCTGTGTATGAACACTGAACTGATTATTTTTAGAAATACTTCTTTATAAATATTCAGAGCTGCTATCTCATCAATAGATTAAGTGATCATATAATTGAATTTATTGACAATTACTGTTCTTCAATCCTATTTATTGTAATGTACTTTGTTGTTTGATTAATTCTACTCAGAGATCCTCATCAAATTTCTTGCTCTTCATAACTGTAGATTTAATATAACCTGTTTTGATTCCTAATGACATTATGATAAATAAATGATATTATAAGATGACAAATAAATAATTTTTGCTCTAATATAATTCATCTTGTTTCATAATGTTTATTAATGCTTAAAAACTTAAAGCAAAGAACAATTAGGTCAGTCAATCAGATTGTTTTAAATTAAATTTAGAAGGTAAAAAATAAAACAGAAAGAAGGTCATATATAGCTTTGGCAGCCATGTTACTTTGTCCCAAATTCAAGTTTTCTTAATCAGTACATTTGTGTACTTATAAATTATAGCGTGTTTGAAAAGATATAAAACCAACTCTGTCCAGAATGCAAAGCTTCTTTCATTTCTTCTTCTCCTTCTTTAATGAAGCCCAAGTTTTGAGTTTTTTTGTTTTTTGTTTTTTTTTGTCATTTACAATTTTTCTAATTTTCTTATTCACTTGCATCTTAGAAATATTTGAAATGAATTTATCTTTGCAGTGCATGGATTAAACTAGATGATTTTTCCATTGCAATAATGTGCAATATTGATGTGTTATTCTGTTATTATTGTTTTAGAAATTTAATCCCAACATTAAGCCATTGCTTTTCTCTCTCTTTCCTTCTTTTATTTTCTCTATTCTTTACAGTTTCATTCTTTGAAATGTGACTTGTTATATTTCAGTTTTTGAATGAATTTTAATCAAAATAATATCTTGTTGTTCATTACTTGTCATGTTCTGATTAGTTGCCAGCTCTTGTTATGTCAATACTCAGAACCTGTTTCTCCCTCTTTTTCATAATCGCAATTCATAATCTGATTAATTGTGAAGGTTTTTATTTGTTCTCTCCCTCCTCTTCCTCCAGTTATCATCATTATCATTATTATAATCATTTTCTTTGTCTTACTTCAGACATCTTTTGCAACAGCCCCAGCACCACCACCATCACCACCACCCAACCACTGCATTTTCTGTGAGAAAAATTGAAAATGAACAATCCTTGGAAGTCGCAATGGGATTTCACAACTTTGGAAACATTTGTAGCATTCTTAAAATGTGGTGTCTCTATTTTATCAAAGCTGATGAGAAATCAATTGTTTAATTCTTTGAGAACATTATCCTGTTAGTTATGTTGTCCTACTTTGAGATGAATGTCTTTGACCTTTATGCTACTGCTGTCAGCTAAATGAACTTTAACCATATCAACATTTTTTGTGCTCTCTTCCCTCTAACTGTGACTTGGGGTCCTCACAATAATACAATGTGTCTCATTCTCTCTCACTCACACTTTCTTTCTTTCTTTCTTTCTTTATTTCTCTCTCTCTCTCTCTCTCTCTCTCTCTCTCTCTCTCTCTCTCTCTGGGACAGTTCATGTTTTTCCTTCATTATTTATATAGTTTCCTCCTAGAGGTCACAGAGCCTCTTCACACTTGTCATTGAAAACATGTTTTATTAGCTTCACATTCTTGTTTCTTGGAAATATCCTGATCACTAATATTTATCTTAAGTCTCTAAAGGAAATTTCAGATACTTTCCTTAGCTTTTTATTTAAAAAATATCATTTTAAAGATCTTTTTTAAATTTAATTGTAGTTTGTTTTTTTTGGTTTTTTTTATTTTTAAAAGTAACTTCAAGACATTTTTCTGTTTACAAAGATGTTCCCTGTACAAGGCCCAAGAGCCACTCGAGGTAGAGGGTTATTGAGTAAGAGGCACAGCTTATGCAGATATGTGGGAAAGATAACACTTAACCCTAGACATGAACAGATTAAGATTGTAGTAATCAGGGAAGCATTCTCTTGGGAGTTGGCTCCACAAAGCAATGCTTAGTGGGAAGAAGCTGCACAAGTTGAACTTACATTTCACCAGTGGAATATGAAGGGAATGAGAGTGGTTTGCTACAATGTAGCATGGCAGGTCTTAACTATGAAAGTTAGAACTGTTGGAACTAAGGAACGTTGTTCATCTAAGCATTTTCCATGGAAATAGCAATAAAGCGATGATAGGCTTGCAATGTTTCATCTTGGTTGAGTGGAAAATAATTTGTCACCCACAGGGACAGAGAAATGCTTTTGGACTCTATCAAGCATGCAAAGCCTCTGCCCATATATGGCAACAGTACTCCATTTTTGGCCTGATGTTCTTTCTGAAGATTATTTATCAATTTGTTTCACTATCTTCAGACATCTTTCAAAAAAACTTCATAATTCCATCCTTCTACAACATTTTAACTTTCAACAAAGAACTGCTATGGTGTTTTTTCCAGAGAATTGAAATCTTTTTATTAAGAGAATTCTGTAAAGGCAGTAAATAAATGGAAATCCAAAGTTTTAATGACTGGTGAATCCAGGTACCCAAGCTCTGAAATTTTTTGACTGGGCAGCAAAGGAACAGGTAGGCTGACATATTTCTGATGGAATATGATAGCTTTCCATTTCAACTAATTCTAGACACCTTTTTTTGTTGATGATTGCTCTCAGTTGGTCAAATTGGGAACAGTACTTGTTTGATCAAATCATTTATTTTATCTGAAAGGGACTAATAGTAGAAATTTTTTTACTATCTTTTCATATATACAGTATCTCCTTTCCTTAACACAAGGCTAGCTTATAGGTAGTGGTGGTTCATTTTTCTTGCCACATAATCTCTTACTGTAAAGTATCCACTTTTCATCACCCATCACAATTTCTTTCACTATTTAAATGGAGAATTGTACATGGAAATATAGCCTCCCAGGTATTTTTACTTCATATATGTAGAAACTACACATCAAAGCAACTAACATAACCAAGCTGATTAAAATAATTCCAGTGCTTGATCTGGATATTTTCAATATGCTGGCTATCTATCATATCTTTTAATCTTTATAAACATATAGAATTGATATTCCCAAGCAATATCTTTACATGATTGTTATCAACCTTCAGCACAAAACTTTACACACTACTTTTGACACAGTTTATCATTCAGTAATGAATTGCACAAATATTTTTTTTTGTATTTTAGTCACACTTTTAACTTTTTTAAAATAAGAAGCATCCTATGCCAAAAATGTTACATCAATGTTAGAATCAATTAAAAAAAGATACGCAAATCTTGAAAAAATAAATTTATAAAAATAAATGCATGATATCTGTCAATACAATCAAAAGTGATAATTTTGAATGAAGTTAATTTAAAATAAACACTCCTAATGCCATCTAATGTCAAAAACCAAATGCTTTTTTAAGATATCCATGAAGTATGAAAATATTGGCTTGTGCTCAGTCTGAATAGACCATTAAAAAAGAACAATATTATTTGTGTTTTGTATGACAAACTTTAGATATCTTTGAGCCAATACTGTTCAAAAAGGCATGTACCTGAGAACTTGAAATTCTCTCTCTCTCTCTCTCTCTCTCATGCACAATGCACACTATTACCAGAGTTCAAATGAAAGTAAACAAATAAGAGCAATTAGAAAATGAAGAGATAATAAAAACAAAATATATTTAATAGCATTTCATATTAAGTATGAAAATTCACTAATATTTTTTCTTTTTGATTTCACCCCAATCAAGGCAATAAAGCCACTAAGATGCAAGGGATTACTTAGTGTGAGAGAATATGAGGAAAAGAAAACATTAAGGAGAGAGAACAATAAAAGAACAGGAATTAAAACAGAAGTTAACAATTGACATTGCATTTAAATTAATGAAGATCAAAACTTGACTGGAAAGCAAGAAACCAGAAGAGAGTTCCACAAGCAAGAAATACATGAGAAGATGTCAGGTCACGACCAATAATATTTTATCTGGAATCTCTAAATATATAGCAGAAATACTAGACGGTATAACTTAAATATATATATATATATATATATATATATATATATATATATATATATATATATATATATATATATATATATATATATATATATATATATATATATCACATGGGTATTATAATATATGAATACATCAAAATGATCTGTATACATATTTTACCATGTAATCAGTTTTATTTTTATTCAGTGGTAAATGAGATAAAATACCTGATATATTGGTTTTCCATCCACTTCTTTCTCCATAGGTGTCCTTTTAGGGCTTAATAAATGCTTACACTATGAAAGTGTCACTGACTTTATAATTGTTTACTTGAATACAAGAGAAGAGTTACTCAGTTTGGAATAAGGTTGTTATTTTCTTACTGGAAATAAAAGCCACTGATAGCTGTATTCTTAATCACTGGGATACACCTGTAAGCATTACATCTGTTACTGATTAGTTAAGATGGACAAAATATTCAGATTTTGTTGCAAGCATAATTCTAAATTACATTTAAAATTTTATTTTTGTATGGTTGCTATATAATTTATTGTTGATACTTAAAAACATTCTCAGAACAAATTTGATACGCCTATCAAGGTTGTATCAAAATCAGATGACATGAAACTTGTTTCACAAGGTTCTGATTCAAATAGGTGCAAATGTGATTACACAGAACTAAACTTCAATTTCAAATTTATTCACTTTACAGTTTTC